GGAGGAGGCTAAAGCTGAAGCCAGAGGCACTGATAGAAGATGGTCCTCATGAGGAAGGGAACATATTTCAGTGACCTGGTAAACTATCAGACCGTTTTCCTTATCCTTAAAAAAATTAGGGAGTTACCGAGGCGGAGCGGCTAGACGCTCGCCACTGATCGGAAGGTCATGGATTCACTCCCTGACGGAGCCGAACTTTTTTCAGAAATGACCTTGGCTCCCAGGTCGACCCATCCTCGAGTGGGTACTGGGTGCAGTCCCAGGAAGTAAAGGCGGCCAGCGTGATGCTGACCACATCACCCATCTTGGGCAAATTGGTCTATAAAATACCGGTCTAGCCCTATTTGCGTGGCAAAAGGGTCCTTTACTTTTTTTTACTCTTGCTTACAAAAATGAAGAGCATGCACCTTCTGCCAACACTGGAGTTTTGCCACTAGATCTTAGCTACATTGTGCCAGCTGGGCATGGAGCAGCGGACTTTCACTGTTGACTGGCTACACGGATGCACCTGCTGGTGTCAAGTTGATGGATGGACAGTACTTCAACCCATACTTCCCTGGATACGCTATCAGCATGGCCCAGGCCTTGTATAATGACCTAATTGAGTACGATAATGGAACCCCAGCAACAGGAAGTCAGTTGGCCAAAGAAATGTCCACCTTCTTAGCCTGGACAGCTGAGCCTGAACATGATTCGAGGAAATTGATATGACTTAGGACCCTGATTATCCTCGGCTTTTTCATAGACGTGGCTGACTACATGAGGCGTCACAAGTGGACCATTCTGAAGTCCCGCAAATTAGCTTTTAAGCCACCCAGTGACAACTGATAGGGGATGAGCCATATGCACTTTGACCATCTAGAACGGGGGAGAAGTGTGAGCGTTGAAGATCTGTACAGATAGTAGACTGACCTGTAGACTGATAGTCCTGACAGGCCTGACATTACATTCAAAGAACTGTTCTAAGACCTCAGTGAGCAAGAATCCAGTTCTCTTCTTGTTTTCTTTTCGTCACTTTTCAGTGTGTTACACCATTGTAGCCAAGTGAATTTAGCCAGCAACATTGTTAATGTAAGATATGTTGAATTAAGAATCGAAATCACAGCACTCAGGACACCCCCATAAGCGCTCCGTCCCCATCTTCAGCAGCAAACAAAGAGTTACAATTCTGATGGTATCAATAACTGTCTGATTGTATATCCGTCTTACCTTTCTCCTGAGTGTGGAGAGTCAGTCAGATCCAGACGCTCCGTTTTTCTCCTGACTCTCCAGGCTCCTGCTGTCCTATTTCTATGTCTTCTCCTGTCTCCATTTCCTCGTCTTCTCCTCCTCCCACTCTCTCCATTGCCACCTGAAGATGGTATCAAGTACAGAGCATGCACTCTATAGCTCTGGCGATGATTTTTTTAATTATTAAATGTTAATGTAAGATAACAAAATGGATTCTTAGGTATTTTGTTTTTTTAAACTATTGTATATGGCTTGAGTTGATTACAGAGGTTGTTTGTACTTATTTGTCTGGCAGCACCGATAAGGCAAGTGTAACTGACATGTGACTGGAAGTCGCTGCTTGATTTGATAATAAATAAAATAACCGTTGTTGGAAACAAAAGTCAGTAAAATATAACTAATAACAAAAACATTATTTGAATGCTAGTTTATATGTTTTTACAGTGTCTGTCGCTTAGACGTGAACGCGTTTGGTAATGCCGGGTTTGATCTTAGCTACCAGTGATTTAGCAGCAGACTGACTTGCATTGGTTTCGATAGTGGTACCCAGAGCCGACCATTCAGAACGTAATGGCAAACTACTGAATGTAAAAATTTGACTACAGATATCAAACAAAAAAAAAAAAAAAATGTTAACAAAGGCTGGGGTTGCGTTCTGCAGTGTTCTGTAAAATACACAGCCATCTTTTATGTTTTTACATGTGTCATTCCAACTTGTTTATAAGTGATAATCATTCACTGCTTGTCTAAGAATACGGTTATCTAAATGTTTACATATACATTTGTTTTCATAAATCTATGTGATTTTAACATGAGTCCCTAATCAGAATTATTCACCTAATTCATATGGTTGATGTTGAGAAAATACAAGCTCTAACATGTGATTCACTGAGAGATAATGCGTGATTTAGTTTTTGTAAATATATATATATATTTTTTTTTCTTCTAAATTTCTGTATTGAAAACAATTTCATTTTCTGTATTTTTCATTGAAACGTGAAGCAGTTGTTGATGAATATGTTGCTGCACAAGTTCACCCTGGACTCATCGTTGGCATTGTCTTTGGGGTTCTTTCATTATTGATCGTTGCCGTTGTCCTTGTAGGCTACAGGTATGTGATGCTTTCTTTGTGTATCATGAACAATTAATTTTTTTCCTTTTGATAACCTCAAGTAAGTAAACGGACCCTTTTAAATGCAACAGGCATAAGGTTCTAAACCGACACTGGCTTCTCTCAAGCGTTTGATGTGAGTGTGTTGTTCGATCTGCTTTGGTGGCACCATTTTGTCTGCAGCCTGTCCTTTCTTTAGGCATGTCATGAGAGTGTTTAGTAGGATAATGCATCCTTATCATCACTTAGGTCCTTTTTAGAACATTGCTCTCTTCACAGCACATGATGTTTTATAGATCACTTGGTCCTGGTGTGGGCTCTAGGGCTACTTGTGGGGGATAGACCTACTGGCTCCTGGCATAAAAGGCAACTAATTAGGGGTGTTTCCTTTGAAGTTGGAGAGCATCTGCCTGGGAGGTTAGGAACCATCAGTCTGCATTCATGTAAGCAGATTCTGTAAAATAGATGTGCATGCAAAACTCAAGCTCTGGAACAAGACCAAAGTCCAGAAGTGGACTAACAACCAGAATTTTCCCCCAAGAGTTAACAGCTGGTGAAGGCTAAGACAAAAAAGAATATCATTTGGCACATAAGGGTGGTCAGTATTGTGCTGACCATCTTCACATATCAGGACACTCACTGCTACCCAATTGAGTCTAATAATTTAATCAGTCAGTCAATCAGGTGCCCTCTCCACAATGAAGATTGACTGCAGTAGATCTTCAGTATGCGATATAAGTAAGTAAAGTAAAGTAAAGATCCCTTTACACGCCCTTAGGCGCATCGGGCATATGGGAAGAGCACCCATATTTTACAGACCAATAGGCACTCAGTGGGTAATGTGGTCAGCATTACGCTGGCCGTCTTTACTTTCCCAGGACAGCCCATCCTGGTACCCATTTGAGGCTGGGTTGACCTGCGACGTCCCATAACACGATAAAAATCCATGCAGCCCACACAGGTTTCGATCGCGGTACGTTGGATTACGAGTCAGACTTGCAACGCCTTAGCCACGGACGCCGCTTATGCGATATAAGTAGCAAGACAAAAAACAGCCAGTAGGTCTATCCCCCCCCCCCCCCCCCCCCCACAAGTGGCCCTGGATAATTTAATCAGTCAGTCAATCAGGTGCCCTCTCCACGATGAAGATTGACTGCAGTAGATCTTCAGTATGCTCTGTCTTTCGCCTCAGATGAACACTCTCTCAGACTGCTGTTCATTCATTACCTGATGTTATCTTGATACTTATATCGCTGTCTGTCTTTTATTCGCTTACAGGTTAATAATATCAAGAGCACAATGATTGGTGTGCTTGCTGAACAAGATAGTTGTTCTTGTTCAGCCCCCAGCCTCTGTTCTACCAGTGCTACCCTGCTGTCAGCCCAGTCATAAAAAAGATACTGAATATATTACATAATGTTATGAGAATTACCTGTGAATTTAAGGCAGCAAGGAAAGGAACTTGCTGCGCCCTCATTCTCCCACAAGCATTCTATAAAAAGCGAGTAATTAAAGGAGTTTCTTTCAGAGACGGAGTTCATCTGCCAGAGAGGTTAAGAACCATTAGTCTGCATGCATACGAATAAGCCAGTTCTATTAAAGAATGTGCATGCACAAATTCAGGTACTGGAACAAAACCAAAGTCCTGATTTGGACGAAATAGAACTTTTATCTGAACCTGTCAGCCAGTCGTAGATCTGTTTTACAGGTGTATTTCATGCCACATCTCTTGCAAATGATGGGTAAATGTCGTTGCTTGTGCAGTAAAGTGCCTCACGTATGTGGAGGGTGGCATTTGGGAATTCTAGACTTTTTCCCTGAACCATTTATGGACAAGTCTTGTATACAGGTCTGTGGCAGGAGACAGTGCCTAAGTGGGACTCAGATGTAGGATGTAATTGACTAACTGACTTTTGACCAGAGCGACCTTGAAGAAAATAAGAAAAATAGGTTTACTATGTCATAATTTTCTAAACAGTTTACAGTTTAAGCTGTCTTGAGGAGTACTGCGTTGTTTATTTCAATCACTTCATGGCATTCTCTGCATTCTTCTCAGAAACCACATGTCCACTTCAGGAGGGTGTTTTTCCGGCTTGACTGCTTACTGCCCATTTCTTACATGCATGTAACAACACATATTCTGTTTAGTAAAAAAAAGTAAAGGTCCCTTTTCACGCCTTTAGGCGTATCGGGCATATAGGAAGAGCACCCATATTTTTACTGACCATCGGCACTAGGTGGGTAATGTGGTCAGCATTATGCCGATATTCTATATAGTACTTTAATACTCTTTTCTCTCACTGCATTTGAAATGTTTTCATTGGTATGTATCTTTTATATCTGACTTAAGACCGCTTTTGCCGTTGTCTATACAATGTCTGCATATGTCAGTCAAACAAAATAGGTAAGCATAGCGAATTTCTGTCTCCTAGGTCTCTTTAAGTTATTTTGTGAGAAGCTTAATTTATGAATTGTATTGTTTTTTTTTAATGTCTTTTTGTGTTACTGATTTATTTTATGAGTGGTATTTTGTTTGTGTCTTTTTGTGTGGCCGATTTATTTTATGAGAAGTATTTTTTTGTCTTTCTGTGTGACTGATTTATTTTATGAGTGGTATTTTTTGTGTGTGTCTTTTTGTGTGACTGATTAATTTTATGAGTTTTTTTGCTTCTCCAGGTTTTACACATGTAGGAAATGTTACCAGGCTGCATATTTGTACTTGGCTGTGCCCAGCAATGGTCATTCCATCCAGCAGACGGTTGTTCAGGTGGAGGAACCAATAGGTGGGTCTTTAGTCTGTTACAAAAGAGATTGAAGGTCTCAAGGCATGGTGTCCACCTTGACTGCTAGAGGTTCCAGGTTCAATCCCTGGTAAGGGCTTGAATTTTTTCACGTGGACTTGGACTTCTAGTAATTCCCCCTGGTATCTGAGTAGTGAGATTGGACGCCTGTGTTGCGCACGTAAAAAATCCCTTGACAGTTGTAAATCGAAAAGAGTATCCAAACGGCGCTGCCCAGGCAAAATTTAGAGTTAAAAATCTACCCAAAGTATTTCAGGATCCTTGCCGGTGCTACAGAGCCTGTGCACTGTGCTGAGCTTCTTCGGACTCAGACTTGAGTTAGAAGTAGAATGGAGCACTTATTGGTTACACCCGTGTGCTATGATGTTGATCTGTTGTTCAGAACCTCAAAACCTAGTCTGTTAAAAGTATTTCATGCAGACTTGTTTCACTGGGTGGTGCGCAAAGACCAAAGCTCATGTGTATAGTCTACAGATTTTTTCTCGGGGTAATTTTTCAAACTAAAAGTATGGCATCTTGGTATTGTTTTTTTTTCTAGGACACTGTGGTGATAGAGTTAAGGTTGCAGTCATTAAATCAGCAGTTAAGACAGCCAGGCTGTTGATGATTCCTAATTTCAGACTACACAATGAGAGCACTGGTGACAGTTACTTACATACATTAACCCACTGACTACCAAGCACATTAACCCTTGCATTTCCCCAGATACCATGTATTTTAGTGTGTACTAAAAATGCCATAGCTTCACAACTATTTGATATAATCTCACAATATTTTGTATTTTTGCACCAAACTGAATGAAGAACAAATTTCAAGAAAAAAAAGTTGTTTATTTTGTTTTGCATCATCATCATGTGGCTGTAGATTAGTGCAAAAAAGGCAACCGAAAAATCTTTTATCTGACAACAATAAAGACTAATAAAAATGTCTTATTTTCAAAAAATATTTAACAGAAATGTATAATATTTTGTATTTTTTGCACAAAATTAAACCAAGAACCCATTTAAAGAAAAAAAAAAATAAGGTTTACTCTGACATAGTCATCATCATCATGTGGCGTAGATTGTTTTGCAAAAAAGGCACTGAAAATCTTTTATCTGACAACAATAAAGACTGATAGTGATGATTTTTTTTCAAAAATATTCAACAAACATATATTACATTTTGTATTTTTGCACAAAATTGAACCGAGAACAATGTGAAGACAAAAAATATTTACTTTGTCTGACATAATCATCATCATCATGTGGCTGTAGATTGTTGCAAAAAAAGGCAACTGAAAAATCCTTTATCTGATAATAATTCAGACTCCCAAAAAATGTCACAGCTTCACAACTGTTCAATATCACTTATCATATCTGATATTGTTTGCACCAAATTAAATAGATAACAAATATCAAGACATATGTAGATTTACTGTTTTATATCATCATCATGTGGCTGTAGATATGGTGCTGAAAAGGCAACAGACAAATCTGTTATCTGACAGCAATATATAGAAAACGCCCCCGTGACGTGATGGTGGCAGCAAATGATGAGTGGATAGATGGATATAGACTCCGGTAGTCTGAAATAGACGGCTTTTTCACAACACATGTGACGCAACAGTACAAGAAACCATGTTACTTTATTTGGGGTTGTGTGTTTCCAGTTCTTGGGAAAACAGGTGTCTGGTTTCGCACCAATCTTTGCCTCAACATAATGGTTTGTTTCTTTAGCAAACACAGCCAGAATTTCTTTACTGAAGAAAATATTCAGTGGTTCATTTGTTCCTGCTGGCAGAAATAAACCAAAAGTGCCAGTAAATGGAGGTAATCCAGGAAAGCCTTCTAAATCACAATACCAGTCATCAACCATTTGGCGTGGCACATCTTCCCCGGACTCGTCAGATGATGATGATTCTGAATCAAAAGCGGCAATGATATCTTCGTCATGTGCAGACTCACGCACAAAATCTTTATAATCTGTGGGCTTTGACTGAATACTCTTACAAGAACAATCAGCATCATAAACTGCGGCACCAGTACTTGCAGCCGACAGCACTGTGACTGTCTTTGTCAGACTTGACTTCGAAGCTTCATGCTGTCGTTTTACAGTCGACGATGTTTTGAATGGCACTTCGTTAAATTTATTATAGTCATAGCCATCAAACTGTTCAGAAGTGTCTCCAAATTCACTTTTTGAAGCAAAATCAAGAAAATCCAATGCATCATTAGAAAATTTAGGAGAGATATGGCCACCACGATGGTTCCGATAATTTGACGCCATGATGAATTTTTTGTCAATGTCTCACCGTCATGGGAGCTAACTAAAAAAATTCGTCAAATATTTACTTCAAGCACTACGAAGTTATTTCCCTTAATTAACCATACAGAAATGAATAAGCTAGAGGTTTCAACTAAATCCATCATAAAAATCGCGATTTTAACATGACGGCAAGCGTCAAAAGTTAAAATCGCAAAGGGTGTGACGTTGGCAGAAGGAAGTAAACGTCGCCTCGTCGCATTACGTGCGACGCTGGTAGTCAGTGGGTTAAAGAGACCGTACCTAGCTGTATCTTTCTATGGCAGGGTTTCCCAAACTTTTCTTAGTCGCAGCACCTTTTTTCAATTAAAATTTGTCCACGGCGCCCTTACCTAAGTAAAAGTATGAATATTCGTAATGTTAAAGATAATAAAAAAATAAAACTATGTATCTTCGAATATTTCGTGGCTCCCCGGGGCGCCGCGGCGCACAGTTAGGGAATCACTGCTCTATGGTCATACTAGAAACAAGATCCCAACCAGGAGCCTGGCCCCAATATATTTAGAATCAGTATTTCTTTCAGAGTTCATCTGCCTCAGAATTGAGGAACCAATAATCTGCATACAAGTAAGCCAAATCTGCAAAAGGGAATGCGCACAACACTCAAGCCCCGGAACAAGATCAAAGTCCAGAAGTGGGCAGCAAACAAGATATTCTGCCGAAGTTACAGGTGATCAACCTGAAGAAGAAGAAGAAGATCTGTTTACATTTTAATAAATCCATGTTTATGCCACTACAGGTCAATTCAATGACACCTGATTTGTGTAGAAATTGCTCCCCTTTGTAGTGGGAATATATTTTTTTTTTTCTTCAGTATTATAATATTTAAAATGCTGAATGTATAATTCTCCCCATTTGGGTTTTGAGAATCTTTCTTTTGGGTCAGAAAGAATTATTGCTAAAATATTGCAGTCATCTCTTTTCATTTCAGCAACTCTCTATTCATTTCCAGTCTTTCTGGGACCTCTGTATTCGATTATTGTTTCCATGAAATATGTCCTTTTTTTCTTTATTTCTACACTCCAGAGACTCATTGTGATTTTGTAACTCTACATGACAGATGGGCTTATGTGCCCAGTTTGTGACCAGTTGAAAAAAAAATAATTTGTTTGTGCTCTCTCTCTCTCTCTCTCTCTCTCTCTCTCTCTCTCTCTCTCTCTCTCTCTCTCTCTCTCTCTCTCTCTCTCTCTCTCTCTCTCTCTCTCTCTCTCTCTCTCTCTCTCTCTCTCTCTCTCTCTCTCTCTCTCTGTGGGTGTGTGAAAGTGGAAGAGTATATATGTGGATGGAAGGTGTAATTTGAATTAATGTTTAGTATATATATGTGGATATATATATATATATATATATATATATATATATATATATGCAGTCTCACTGACACGGACACAATTACATACAATCATCTTGTTTCTGTCTCACAGAGGACAAGCAGTACCCAGATATAGATGCCCTAGACTTCATTGATCATGTGAAACACATGCACATGGATGGCGACATTGGCTTCTCTCAAGAGTTCGATGTGAGTGTGTTGTTCAGTCTGCATTTGTGGCACCATTTCATACGCAGCCTGCCCTTTCTTTGATTTGTTTAGTAGGATAATTCATCCTTATTATCAGCCAGGCAGGTTTTTCACAGAGCGTCGCTCACTTCGCGGCACACCTGAAAGTCTCTCTGTCTTTAGCCCTGTGTTTTTTTTTTAGCCAGTGCATTTTCAGTGTCTTGTACCCACCTTTACAAAGTCTGCCTCTGCTTCTATTCCCAAAAACGTTACCTGCCTTCACCGGGTGTTTTCTCCAGGCCACCATGGCGATTGGGGGTGACTGCAGATTGAGGACTGTTGGAGATTAAAGGTGACTGCAGATTGATGATTATTGGAGTTTGATAGTGACTGCAAATTGATGATTATTGGAGATTGAAGGTCACTGCAAATTGATGATTAGGGGAGATTGAGGGTAACACTGAAGGTTGATGATTTTTGGAGATCAAAGGTGACTACAGATTGGTGATTATTGGAGATTTAGGGTAACACTGAAGGTTGATGATTTTTGGAGATTAAAGGTGACTGCAGATTGATGATTATTGGAGATTGAGATTGACTGCAAATTGATGATTATTTGACATTGAAGATGACTGCAGAATGATGATGATTAACGGGGTTTGAGGATGAACATTTTGATTGATCATATTAGTAAGTACAGAGGTCATGGGAGACACCAGATTAAAGATGACTCTAAGTTCAAGATGACTGCAAGTTAAAGGTGACTAGCAAAAAGCAGTTTTAGTGCACAAAAACTTGTATATTGCTGATAATGTATAATCAATAAGCTCATACACATGTAGGTTTCCAGGATCTTCTTGGATTAACTTAGAAAGACATAAGATCTTCTTGGATTAACTAAGAAAGACATAAGGTCTTCTTGGAGTAACTAAGAAAGACATAAGGTCTTCTTGGATTAACTAAGAAAGACGTAAGGTCTTCTTGGATTAACTAAGAAAGACATAAGGTCTTCTTGGATTAACTAAGAAAGACATAAGGTTTTCTTGGATTAACTAAGAAAGACGTAAGGTCTTCTTGGATTAACTAAGAAAGACATAAGGTTTTCTTGGATTAACTAAGAAAGACATAAGGTCTTTTTGGATTAACTAAGAAAGACATAAGATCTTCTTGGATTAACTAAGAAAGACATAAGGTCTTCTTGGATTAACTAAGAAAGACAAAAGGTCTTCTTGGATTAACTAAGAAAGACATAAGGTCTTCTTGGATTAACTAAGAAAGACATAAGGTCTTCTTGGATTAACTAAGAAAGACATAAGGTCTTCTTGGATTAACTAAGAAAGACATAAGGTCTTCTTGGATTAACTAAGAAAGACATAAGATCTTCTTGGATTAACTAAGAAAGACATAAGGTCTTCTTGGATTTACTAAGAAAGACATAAGATCTTCTTGGATTAACTAAGAAAGACATAAGATCTTCTTGGATTAACTAAGAAAGACATAAGATCTTCTTGGATTAACTAAGAAAGACATAAGGTCTTCTTGGATTAACTAAGAAAGACATAAGGTCTTCTTGGATTAACTAAGAAAGACCATATATGAAGAAAGATGTTTTTAATAAATAAGAAAGTATTGTGGTGAGCTTTGGAGACTTAGTTGGTTAGTAGGCTTAACTGCTGTGACTGGTCCAAGTTTGAGTTCCCCGGATGTGGCAAGATTTCTTGCAACCACTTAAGTTCAGACTTAGGAATAATGATTTCAGGAGGATAGTCAATACAGAAATAACACTGAACTTGTATCGATAGACAGCAGATCAAATGGTTTGACCATGAAACAATATTGGCAACAGAGAAGGCACCACAGAGAGCAGTGTTATACAGATACACCGGTAACAGAGGCAGATTCAACCACACAGAAGATGGACCATGGAAATCGGAGACACTGAAGAAGTACTATATATGAAGCTTACAGAAGGGCACATTCCTGAGATCTCTTCCTGCCCTGATGCTGGAGGCATTCCAGGAGTAGAGAAAAGAAGAAGAAGTTCAGCTCAGGGTTGGCACAGCTTCAGAGAAATGGGTACCAGAAAAACAATGTGATATGGAATTGAATTGGCCAGCCCACCTTATATGTTGTGGCTTAGAATGTGCCTTTGTCCTCTTTTGACAAGGTTCTTTAAAAATATGTCTGTTATTAAATTGTGCCTATTGGGATAAACAATTGTCTACTGGTGGAAAGAACAAAGCAGGACATATAATTCAGTTTATGTACATTGTTTTTTATACATATGTATATTTTTTACTACAGGAAATCAACAGAATTTCATTCAGTGACAAGCTTTTATTTGAAAGTTCTAATCTGCCAGACAACAGAAATAAAAACAGATATATCAACATTGTAGCATGTAAGTTTCTTTTCCTCATTGTTGACCGTCTTTCTTCTGCTTTTTCTTCTTCCTACTCCTCTTCTTCTTCTTTATCTTCCTCTTCTTCTTCTTCACTTCCTGAGGTACCGCTTTGGATGTACATTGATCACTATTGTTCTAGCAGTAATCTTCTATAGCACTAAGTGTCCTAACCCTGTTGCTCTGAACACTAAATCTAGTCACTGAGGGTTGTGATACAATCCAGTAAATGCCAACATTTTGCCATGTCTGCAGTAATCTATTTTCTAAAAGCATAGTTAAATTCCACTGGTTCTGTGTGAACCTGCACAGTGTTTAATAGGCCAGTAAAGGAGTATAAAAATTAAAAGTAGCATTCAAGGGTGTTTCCTTATGACTCCAATGACTTTTTTCTTTAAGCCAAGTTGATGTCACATTGTTCTGTGAGCCTCATTGATGGAGGTCATAGGGTCAGGGCATGAGTGATTGAATACATATTGTGTTTAGGTCCTGGCAAATGCATTCTATTTAATGCTTCACTATGTACATGTTATAAATTTCAAGAAAAAAATTATTTTGATAAACTTATATTTAAAAAAAAAAGAGGATATAATTGACCTATGTAAAATGGTTCCGTTTTTGGAAGGGGGGGGGGGGGGGGGGGGGGGGGGGGGGGGGGGGGGGGGGGGGGGTTTGTTTAAAGGATTTTTTCCGGAATACACATGAGGGCAGGTCTCATTTTTTTTAACATCCAGAGGATGAAAGAGTTAATGCTTATGCAAGCTGCCTTTACCTGCCAAGAGCATTACCTGATGCCCACTTTAGGCTAGGCTGACCTAAGAGCCAAGCTCAGTTAAAAATGTGCATGGGTGCAGATTTTAACCCTAGACCTGCAGGCCGGCATGTAGCCACTGTGCTACAGTGGCTCTCCTGTATGCATTTACTGTTAAGTGTTTTCTTTTGCTGATGTGTACATTTTTTATGTGCAGACTTTCTTGTATGTTATGGCTATCAATCTCACTGCAAATTGTTCTGTTTTCAACTTTCAGATGATCATTCTCGAGTTATTCTAAAGACAGATCTTGGTCGTTTGCGTCAGTCGGACTATATCAACGCCAATTATGTTGATGTGAGTTTAAACTGAGTTGTTTCTGTCATTGTTTTAATGAACTTTGACAAGTTACAGTTTCCTTACATTTCTTTACTTGTATCTAATTATGACATTTCAAATTTTATTGAATATTAGTTGCATGTTTTATTTGTGTTTTCTTGTTGGTGTAACATTGGTAGTTTGTTCCACTGGTGTTCAGTTTGTGTGGGCACTTAAAAAAAGGGTTTGCATCTATAATAATAAGCTTGGTGTAGAAGCTTTGCTGCCACCCCTGTGCCATACTACTATATCCATGGGGCCGTATTAGCACAGTAGATACAAGACTCGATTTCAAATCGAGCTGTGACTCGCTACAGCCGACGGTCGGTGTTTGAAACCGGACAGTTCCCGGGGTTCACCCAGCCTCTAGGAAATGGGTACCAGAGTTGACACTCTCGGGTAAATGGAGGAACGGCGCTGTAGCTTCGGAGTTACGTGTGGACAGCAACACAGGCGGATAGTTTCTTATCAGCTGTCCGTACTAGTGGCAGAGCACTTATGGTTTATAACCATGTGCAATGATGCTGGTTCACATCTCCCGACTTTACCTTTACTTTATCTCCATAGGAACTGTGTTGCTGAGCTTTTCTTTCCATCTCCAAACTGAAAAGCCAGCTATGTGTACAACATTAGTATTGGGGACTATAGTCTCTAGAAAGCTATATTAGAATATGAAGTGTCTATGACTCGTCACATCACACATGGGCTGGTCGTGGTCAAGCCTAGGTTTATAATCTTTCTGCTACAGGTTATGATTATTTCATTGTTAATAGTTTCCTGTCAGCGTCTGTGGCTTAGGCATTGTGAACATGCTTCGTAATGCCGGAATGTCGGGTTCGAAACCAAGCTGCCGGCCTTATGCGTTTCATTGGTTTCGGCAGTGATATCGAGAAGCCGACCGTCCAGAAAGCAATGACAAACTACTGGACGTAAATGTGCCTAGAAAAACCACAACAGCGAAAAATGCTGGGGTTGGTTCTGCAACGTTCTGTAAATGATATGCAACAAACTTATTAACTTATTGTTTCCCACACAGTGTCCAGGGAGAAAGTATAGTCAGGGTGGTGGAGAAGGATGCTTTTCTGTTTCATAATCAATCCCAACATATGGATGTGAGTCATGCACTAACTCATAGTCATTGTTGAAGACACAAAGGCTTTTGAGCTGATAGCTATTGAAGGATTCTTAGAATACCATGGACCAAGAAAAAAAGGAATATTGATATCCTAAAACATCTAAACATCAAGGAAGATTGCCTCGTAAACATCATGTTATCTCGGAAACTAACATATTTTGACCATGACAAATTGGAGAAAGAATAACAGCAGAAGGGTGGTGGCCAAAAAAAAAAAGAGGGGCAGGGGCCGACCAGCACAAAGCAGGGCACAGGATATAAGTGATTCCATGGGTTAGGAAAATGCATGAATTGGGAAGAGCTGGCAGGAGACTGAGTTTCTTTCAGGCAGACAGTGAGGGCAGCGATGTTCTACAAAAGACCTGCTACATAAAGATTAATGAATCCAAATCCCCCACAGCTGCGCCTATAGTTATGTTCTTACCAGGGATACAACAGCTCTCCTTTACTTTAATATGGGCTGAGATTGAACACTTTCATTACAACTGGGCCAAAATCCCCTAAATGCTAAATGCTTCTTTCAAAAAAAAATTATTTTTGAATATGTTACTTAGGTAAAGTGGCAAGTGAAAATTGTGTGGTTGCCTGAAAATACTTCATTTTGACCTTTTTAGAGTAGGAATTTGCATGTTAATTTCCCTTTGGCATATTGGAAAGGGACAAAAACTTGAAAATGCACATAGGCGAAAATTATTCCCCCCCCCCCCCCCCCCCCCCCCCCTCTCCCCCCCCCCCCTTTTTTTTTTTTTCCACTTCGGTGACTTTGACAAAGTGCCAGTCGTATGGCCCACATGCCATATCCTTAATTACAATAATAAATCAGTTAACTTTAAATTGAATAACAATTTATGAATTTTTCACAAGCATTTGTTTCAACATGCTTGCTTAATTCAGTGCTGTTGTCTAATTCTTGCTGCAGGGCTATAAAAAGCCAAAAGCTTACATAGCCACTCAAGGCCCTCTGCCGCAGACATTTGCAGACTTCTGGCGCATGGTGTGGGAGCAGAACACAAATGTCATTGTCATGATCACCAATCTTATGGAGAAGGGACGGGTAAGTCAGTCAGCTTGTGTTCTTGTCTGTACAAAACAGTTTTTGTTATCGGGTATTACAGTGTAAAGTAGAGGACCCTTTTCCATGCCATTAGGTGTATAGGGCATTTAGGGCTAGACCTATAGTTTTTATAGACCAATCAGCACAAGATGGGTGATGTGGTCAGCATCATGCTGGCCATCTTTACTTCCCAGGACTGCACCCGGTAAGCATTCAAGGCTGGGTTGACCTGAGAGCCAAGATCAGTTTTGTTTTTAGAGTCCGGCTCCGCCAGTATGCAAACCCACAACTTTCTGATCCGCAGGCGAGTGTTTAGCCGCTACGCCACCGCGACTCCCAGATATTATAGTATGGCAAATGATATTGATGGTAATAATAGCCTGGTTCAGAGCTTTGCACTTGTGACCAGGTTCTTTGTTTCTGGTGGTGTGCAATGGTGTGCAGTACCGTCATCACTTTCTTTTCAGCGCTTCTTTCATAGACACTGTTTGGTAAGTACCAGCACATATTTTTTTAGACACTTCAGAATTTCAGCATCCTTTTTTTTCTATTTAAAAGAAAAACTTTGCTTGTAACAAACATTATTTTAATAGCAGATTTGTTCCGCTTTTAAGTACACTTTGCTGTTTCTAATTTTTTTCTTTGTCTTTAGTGGAATTGCTGGTATTCTTTCTTCATATTCTGATTAATTTGGATGTGTTTGAACTAAAACTGACTAATGAGCAGCTGCGTCAGCTATGTAAAGCATCTTGTAAATTGTAAATAGGATAAGTAAGCAAGTGGTAAATAATTGTTTGTGCTAATAATAATTAATGAAACACTACAGAGACTTTTTTTTTTAAATTTAACAAAGTGTTACTACAAAGATTAGTATTACCTCTCCAACTTCAAATACTGCTTTGTGGTTATGCTGGTTTTTTTTTTCTCTTCTTAATTAAAAAAAAAAAAATTGTTATGGTGTTCAAATTATGTAAAGTTTAAAAAAAAATGTAAACAGATCCCCTTTCAAATTATTTAGCATTTTCCTCCAGGTGTTATTGCATTGTTTTGCATCCTTGTTGAACTGCTGTGTCTCAAAAAGACCCTTTTCATGGTGCTGGCACTTGTGCATTTGGTGCCAGACAATTTTTTTTGTTAAATAAACCACTTACCACTTGATGGTACTCACCAACCATCTTTACTTCCTAGAACATTTCCTGGTACCCATTTTAGACTGGGTCAGCCTTCGAGACCAGGGTCAAATTAAAAAAAAAAAAAAATTTAAAGCGGATTTGAGCCCAAGACTGCTGTCATGACTTCTGAACTGCTGTTTTCATCTATTTTTCAGTGATTATACTTTAGGCATAAAATTTCTCATCTATTTACAACCCAGAAGTTTTGAAGGCGGTGTGGGCTTAAAGACAACTAATCACAAACATCAGAAAGAGGCAGTGATCATTTTTATTTGTGTAATCTTATGAGTAGAAGGAAACTGGAACATGTTGTGACCACTGAAATGATCTGTGGAAAAAGAGACAGAGGAAGACAACGCGAGAAGATTCCAGACAGCCCCTTTTTTGTTTTCATAGAATGGAGGAGTGTCAGCTCACAAACTTATATATGCTGTTAAAAATCTCAGATTATGGAGAGACATAATCACCCACGCCAGTCTGCAAGTATTGATGCTGATAATAAGTTAAATTTACCATGTATCGTTTTCTTTATAAATTTTTTTTTTTTCACATTGCAGCGGAAATGTGATCAGTACTGGCCCAGTGATGGTGCAGAAACGTATGGCAACATGAACGTTAAACTTGTCACCATGGTCCACCGTGCCCATTACACTGTGCATGTTTTTACACTTCGAAATGTGAAGGAGAAAAAGGTAATCTGCTTAGAGATTGTGCACATCATTTTCTTATGTGGTAACCAGAAACAACTACAGGAATTTAGTTTTAATAAATATGTACCTTTTTTCAGTCAAGGAACAAAAACTGCAAAACGGCACTGACTGGACGAATGGGTTAAATTGTTTTGACTCCTGCCTACCACTCCAGCACTTCATATTTATCAGCTCTTTACCTCTCTAGTACTTTAAAGAACATACATATTAAAACACCAGATAATTGTTAAAAATGTTCTCTCTGTTCTAAATTAAATCTGCAGTGTGATACATTTATTTACTTAACTGACACTACAATTTATTTTATTCTAAATATTATTCACTTTTTAGAGTAATTATTTGTTTTGACAGAATGTAATACATTTTTTTTAAATGTATTTGTGTGAATTTTACATCAGATTTAGTTGTTACATGGGTAAAATGATTGCTTTTTTTACAATGATTATTCAATGAATTTCTAGATTAATCTGTTTTAGAGGGTTAAGTTTTCATAATAAATCTGTGTCACAGCAGGTTAGAAAAGAATTGCATGCTGTATAGTTAATCCGGAAAACTAAATAACAAATTAAACAATTTCTTGAGGCCTTAGAAATGTGGTTTTACAGAAGAAATTCTTAGAATTCCTTACACAAACAGAAAAGAGCAGCCCAGGTGTTTTGCAAGAGGTGAAGGCTCAAAAACAGCTGATCACAGACAGAAAGAGACATTCATCATTTTTTGGTGATATGAGAAGAAGAAACATGAGACATGTTGTGAACACTGGAAAGATCTGTGGTAAAAGAGACAGAGGATGACAACAGGAGGCGATTTTTGACAGCTTTTTTGTCATGGCATAGAGGGATGTCAGCACATGAACTGAGACATGCTGTTGAAGATCACAAATTGTGGAGAGGTATGATCGCCCTCGTCAGACTAATGATGATGATAGTTTTTATTTGTATATTTGGATGTTCAAATGTCACAGGGTGGTAGATTCAGCAAACCTCATGGATCATCATCATCATGTGCCCTGCCGACTGGCATAGGCGCTCATGCATCTCTACAGATCACGAAACCTGGTTGCCTGGAACAGCTTTCTTGATTATATCCCTCTATGCCATCGTTTCAGCCCATCTAGCATCATCTGTCTTGGTCTGCCTCTACCCCTTTTTCCACTGATATCTTGTGGATGGAAAACATTTTTTTTTAAAACTTTGGTTTCTCTGGTTTTATTTTCAGCGCTCAATGAAAGGTTTGACAGAAAGAACAATTTACCACTATCACTATACAGAGTGGCCTGATCATGGGGTTCCAGATTATGCCCTGCCAGTGTTATCTTTTGTGCAGAAGTCAGCAGCTCAGAGTGGACCAGAGTCTGGTCCTATCATTGTCCACTGCAGGTATACATCTCTATTTTTTTAAGGTCCCTTTTCCCAGGCCTTTAGGTATATTGGGAATATAGGGTTAGACTTATATTTTATAAGACCAATCGGCACTTGGTGAGTGATGTTGTCAGCATCATGCCGGCTGCCTTTACTTCCCAGGACTGCACCTGGTACCCACTCAAGGCTGGGTCTACGCCCGCCTGCGGATCGGAAGGTCATTTGTTTAGGTACTGTCGGAATCAAGCTTTCTTCAAAAATGACCTTGGCTGCCAGGTCGACCCAGCCTTGATTGGATACCAGGTGCAGTCCTGGGAAGTAAAGGTGGCCAGAGTGATGTTGACCACATCACCCGCCAAGTGTCGATTGGTCTATAAAATGTTGGTCTCTATGGTATGTGTCTGTTTGATTCTCATCCTTGATGTTAATCCTTCAGAGTAAAATCCTGGAGGGGGAAAAAGCCTTATTTAAAAAATGTAGGGATCTCTGTGGCGAAGTGGTCAAGTTGTTTGTCTCATGCTCTGAAGATCGGGGATTCATTTCACAGCTCCGTCTTTCAGTTCACGAGTGCAGTGTTCGCAGAGACCCCTGGGGATTGCTGCTGGGGCTACAATATTCGTGCTTTGTGCGACAGCCTCAGCAGGCAGCTAGCCGTTCTGAAGAAAGAGACCAAACCGTATGGGATCAAACCCCTTGCAGTGAAGTCAGTCCTTTTGACTTTAACCTTTTAACAGAAAAGATTGTGTTTTCCTTCAGACTACACTTCCAGTATAACTGACCTTAGCTCTCTTGCTGACACCACTTAAGATAGTACCCGTGAGGTAATGTATGTGCGTATGAGTGTGAGAGAAGGGAAAGACTGGGAGAATAACTTTTTCTAGTCTCAAACAACTCATCATACATTTATGGATCCATTCAAAAATAATACAATTTACCTGCTGTCTCCGTGGTGAAGTGACCAAGCTATTGGCCTCACGCTCTGAAGGTCATGGATTCATTTCATGGATGCATCGTTCAGTTCAAGAGTACAATTTTTACAGAAATCCTTTGGTATTGTCGCCGGAGCTAAAGAGTTTGTGCTCTGTGTGATGATCTCGGCAGACGACTAGCCATTCTGTTGAAAGAGACAGAGCCATATGGGATTAAACTCAGTGCAGTGAACTCCTTCATCTTGTCTTTAACCTTTAACCTGCTGTCTTCTTTCGCAAAGGAATGTTATATCCTTCCTCATATTATTCAGACCAGTCGCGTTTAAGAAAAACGAAGTCAGAAAATGTAGTGCATATGCTCCAGCACTGACAACTGTGTGCTGCCAACAAAGACACAGTCTGGCCTGTTCCAGCCTCAATGAAGGCAAAGCAGTGTGGTACACAAGGGGAGACAGTTTTCATGGAGGCTACCGGCCTCCTAATATAAGTTTCTTATGTCCTGTAGTGTCTGTCTGTCTGTCTGTTGGATTGCTTAAGGTCAAGTTATTTATTGCTTTTAAGCCAAACACCTTCGGGTAGAAGGAGTTTAAATAACAACTGCTTGGGATTGAAAAAGTTTCAGCTATGAAATGTGATTGTCATAATATATATATTGCAGTGCTGGAGTTGGACGTACAGGCACCTACATATTAATAGACAGTATGATAGCACGGATACAGGATCAGAAGTCTGTCAACATTCCTGGGTTTACTCAACATATACGGAAACAGAGGAACTTCCTTGTGCAGACAGAGGTAAGTCGGTATCATACTTTATTTATTTTTTTATATCTCTAGTCACTGAGGGAGCCGATGTGTCTAGCGGCTAGATGCTCGCCTGCGGATCGGAAGGTCATGGGTTTTCCTGATAAGGGCCGGATTTTTTTTTAAATGGCCTTGGCTCCCAGGTTGACCTAGCCTTGAGTGGGTACAAGGTATAGTCCTGGAAAGTAAAGACGGCCGGTGTGATGCTGACCACATCACCCATCAAGTGCTGTTTGGTCTATAAAATATAGGTCTAGCCCTATATGCCCAATCGCCTGAAAGGTGTGGAAAAGGGTCCTTTACTTTATTTTACTCTAGTCACTGAAGTTTATCTGTAGCTTAAGTATTACAGTAGAACTTCAGTTATCTGGCTCATGATTATCCAGACTCCTTATTACCCAGCCTTGTTTTTACGGTATGTTTGATATTTTTTCCTGCAGTTATGTTAGGCATTAGAAATGTTATCTTAAAATGTTAACACTTATTTTTATTTTTGGACTTCCTTTTTCCATACAAAAGAAAAATTTGTAAACAGCTGATCTATACTGAGGTAAGAAAATATGAATAAGAGCAGATTTTGGTATAAAAAGGGTGTTTTTAATTATTTGGGTGGGATCGAAACTAAGTTTTTATAGAATTCTGGCATGTCCTGCTTTTAGTCTTATCTGGCCTACCCATCCGCAACATTTGGCTGGATATTTTAGAGTCTGCTATACTTACACATCGCCTTCAGCACTTTGCAGACCAACCCCAGCATTTATTGGCTGTCTGAGGTATTTTTTTTTAAAGTACTTTTGTGTTCAGTAGTTTGCCATTAAATTTTTTTTTTTTTTAATGATCTTGGCCGAGTAGCAGCAGCAGTTGAAGCAGCAGACGCAGCAGCAGTTAAAGTAACTACTAAGACTTCACAAGTTAACACATAGACCAACTGATACTCTATTTTTGTGGATTATTTCTTAATAGGATCAGTATATCTTCATACATGAAGTTCTGGTAGAATATTTGCTGAGTAACGGAGCCACAGAGGTAAAGGAGGATCACCTCTTGGGCCACCTGTCAGACTTGGAACTACCCACCCGAGGCACCATCTTGCCATTGCTGACAGACATCACCCTGTTAGAAATGCAGTTTCAGGTCGGTAAGCCTTTAATCTTTCAAATTTGGTTAACGCTCAGTTAGTATGTTTCCTCGGTAATGTAATTCAGATTGTTTCTCTCTTACCTCGTTAGTGAATTTCACATTGCTTCTCTCTTTACTCATTATAAGATTTCAGATTTCTTCTTTCTCACTCATATTTGTGTTTGTTTCTCTCTTATCTCATTAGTCTAGTTTGGATTGTTTCTCCCTTATCTCATTAGTTTGATTCAGATTGCTTCTTTCTTTACTCATTTGCCTTATTCAGATTGTTTCTTTACTAACTGGTCTATAAGAAATATAGATCTAGCACTGTATGCCAGATGGGCCAAAGCTTTGAAAATTATTCTTTTACTTTATTAATAATTTAGATTGTTATATCTTATTTCATTAGTGTAATTCAGATTACTTCTTCCTGACCTCATTTAGTCTGATTATATTGCTTCTTTTATTCACCCATTAGTCTAATTTATAATGTTTCTTTACTAATTGATCTTTAAAAATATAGGTCTAGCACTGTACGCTGGATGTGCCAAAGCTTTGAAAATTATCCTTTATTACTAATTCGGATTTTTGCTATCTTATATCAGTAGTCTAATTCAGATAATTTCTTTCTTTTTGTTGGTTGCCAGGTATATTTTGTTTTGACTTCCTATGAAGGCTATGAATGCCAGTCTTGCCTTTTGTATTCTTTTAAAAATATTTCTGTCTGCTGTCTCAGCTTTTTCTGTAGTTGTACCTGTATATTTGGATTTGAAATGAGGTTGTGTGAGGTAAACTTCATTTGTCATTTTCTTGATTTATTCTTTTCCATTTTCTTTTTTCCCCCATGAATTTTTAGGACCAGATTGTTGTAACCTCTTATCAAATGCATCTAATTTTGTGTGTGGGGCGGGAAGGCAGTGTTGTCAACAGAATTCATGTCCTAAAGCTTTTTTTGTCAGAGTCCATTCTCCTTCTCCATATTGCATTATCAATTTATTATTAAATAAGGTGTGTATAATATGTATGTATGTATGTGTAGGCGTGTTTGTATACATATGACTCTGAGTATGTTGTTTGTCTGCTTGTGTATCTGCGTGTGTGTCTGTGAATGTATGGGTCTGTGTCCTTGTGTGAGTGTGCGAATGTGTGTGTGTTCGCGCGTATGTCCACGTATATGTTTCAGTGTGAACTGGTCTGTGTGTGTTTTTGTGTGTTTAAGTGTGCCTCTTTGCTGTGTATGTGTCTGTGCGATTGGATACATGTAGCTGTGTATATGTGTCTGTGTGAGTGTCTCTGTGTTTGTCTGCATGTGTGTGTGTCTCGGTGTTTTTCTGCATATTTGATGTGACTGTGTATATCTTCGTTTGTGTCTGTGTGTGTCCCCCTATGTGTTTGTCTTCATGTTTGCCTGTGTATGTTTATGTGTTCTGTCTGCGGGTGTGTCTATGAGGCTGTATGTATGTATCTCTGTGTGTGGGTGTCTGTATGTCTGTCTGCGTGAGTGTATGTGTCAGCATGTGTCTGTCTGTCTGTGCATGTCTATGTGTGTTTCTCTGTGTGTATTGTGTGTGCCCCTTTGTTGTCTGTATGTGTCTGCATGTCAGAGTATATGTCTGTGCGTGCTGAATATATGTGTCTGCGTGTGTATTTCTATGTGTTTGTATGTGTATGCATTTCTGCGTGTTTGTCTCTGTGGGTGTCAGTATGTGTTTGTCTGCCTGTTTGTCGGTATTTGTGTGTGTGTGTGTGTTTGACTGCGTGTGTGTCTATGTGACTGTATGTATGTGTCTGCATGTTTGTCTGCGTATGTGTGGTGTGTGTGTCAGTGTGTGAGCACGAATGTAAATATGTGTGCTGTGTGTTTCCCTGTGTGTGTTTATATGTAAGTGTCTGTGTGTGTGTCTGTATTTTTGTCTGAGTGTGTGTGTGTCTCTGTGGGAGTGTCCGTGTGTGCATGTGTGTGTCTCCATGCATGACTGTATTTATAACTGTATGTTTGTATGTGTGTATGCCTGTATTACGTATGTATGTATGAATGTATGTATGTATGCCTGTATGTTTGTATCTATGTATGTATGTTTCTGTGTATGTATGCCTGTGTGTATGCATGTTTGTATGTATGTATGTATGTATGCCTGTATGTATGTATGTATTTAATGTATGCATG